AAGTGCAAATTTACATAAGCCATCACTAATACAGTAGCATAGTGATTTGTACCACTTCTATATCATCAATCTAAAAATCCTGGAAGCAATTTAATTTAATTTGTAAATTAGCATTGAGATGTCAAGGGCATGAAGCTGAAGAAGCCTTTCCATATTTTGTAAACTGAAGTGGACAATAAAAAATGTGGCTGAGGGAAGGAAGCAATGCTGTTGAGTACCAGAGAGGTACCTGTAGTACTGAGTTCCAGAATATTTTTTAAACTCAGAATCTACTTAGGTAAGTGCACACTGGACAATGACTGCTGTTAACTATATTTTAGGAAGCAATAACAGATATATTTTCAATTTCAAATAACCTCACGAGGCCTTTTCAGCAACATTTCCATGTGTCGTGAACATTCCTGGATGAAGCAGCATACTTTTGTCACCAAGGACCAATGTGCAAAGAGCCTTGAAGAACCAGGTCCAGCAGGCTGAGCCAAGACCTTGAGAACTTTCATCTTCACAAAAGCAATGAGCAAACAGGTTCATAAGGCAGTCTTCTGTTCCTACCATCCTCAAACGGAGCTGAGGGAACAGTCAGTTGTTTTCTAGGCAGTGGTCACTAAAATAATCTTATGCTGTTAAGACTGATCTAGCCAGGCTGAAGGGCATTCATCCAGTACCAGGCAGTGCTACCCAATAAGGCTATCCTGTACCTCCCTGGAAGCAGCTGCTTTGCTGTCCTTTGCTTATCAGCTATTTTACACCTTCATGAGGCTTTCTTGGAAGCCACACTCGGGCTCCTGGCATCTTTTATACAAAGATCCAGAAGTTCCTTTAAAAAGATTTTGAGGCTTTATTTATATCTACCACAAGGTGTTTTGTTCCTTCATTGTCACAGGTATATATTTTCCTTCTATTTATATATATGCCACAATTTTCATTGTCAGAAGTCAGGTCAGAGATTCTTACCTGGGTATAAATTTGGAATTTTGGGAGGTGTTGTCATGCCTTACCAAAACCAACTGACTGAAATAGAAGAACAACCCCAGAGGGCAAAAAGCAATGAAAAATAACAGYGCATCATCTTGCCTTCTTTGGAGATTCCAGCACTCATAGGTGAACCAAAATATCTCAAGAAAACTAGGGATATCTGGGAATCTTTCAGTGAAGCAGAAAAGGAAAATCTATGTATATTTATACAGGGCCATCAGATGCCCTGTATAACTCCTGAGGACTAACAGGACACCTGTGCAATTGAGGGCTCCAAAGTACCAGGGGAGAGTGTAGAGAGTGTAGAGAGTGCCTGCACAGCACTCAAAGGGCAAGGAAATCCATTTGGTCTCCTACACAACTCTGTCCTGATGAGACCCTTTCCTTGAGAAACAAATCCTGAGCTTTTTTTTTCCCAGTGTCAATCTGATGATTTGTCCAGAAGTGCCCCTCTGATCAAATCTGTCAGCTTATTCTGTACATTTTCTGTCGTGCTCATCACAGTTCAAAATGTGTAGGCTTTGTCTGTAATAAATGATTTTTAGCAAAACCAAAATATGTGATTATACATATCCTTAGTCCTCTTTTAGGTACTTTGGTTTTTCATACATGTTTTTCATGTAAAAATATAATCAAGAGAAAAGTTAAATGTACTTAATTATACATGATTATATTCTATGGTTCAATTTCCACAGTATAACCGTAATTTAAGTAACTGGAAACTACTTCCAAATAGGACTACATTTTARTGCCTTACCTTTAGTGCCTTACCAGAAATGTAGAAAAATTTCAACCAAAGAAAATGTTCAGTGGAAAATTAAACAGATTATTATTAACTTATTTTTAACTAAGCTAATATTGACAGTATTTCTTTTCCAGGACTCTACCACAGCAACAAAGAAATCCTAGTATGATTAAGATTCTGGAGGGTTAGTTTACTTTCAGTCATAAAGTAATCAAATGTAAGTAAATACAAAATTTGAACTTGCTTATTTCACATGAAATTTTGAAAACTCCAGAAATTCCACCAGAATATGTTTTACAGTAATAGAAGAAGTTTGTAAGACACAAATCCAGTTGCAGGTATATGAGAAACGATGACTCTCATTTATTCTGTAGGGATCTAGATTACTGTTGAAATCCATCATAAATAGACATATTTAAGGTTTTCGATCCCAACATAAGAAATCTTAAAGAACCCATTTTGGAGAAATGTGGTCTTCAGTTCAGCATCAGGTTACTTTAGAAGGAAGGTCCCATGTCGGGAATGACAAACAGAGGCAGCCAAAATTAGGAGATACTGTTTGAAATTCAAATTCAAACCATTACCTGTAAAAAATTAGATTTCAGACTTTAACACTTAGTAATAAAAAGTTTAGATATAAATTCTGTGTATCTGAGAGTAAAATGACTCATACTAAAATAACACAACTAAACTTCCTGTGAGTCTTGCCTTGGAACTCTGCTGAGTACTGCAGAGAACTGCAACAAGCACAGATTTCAATAGGTAGGAAGAAAACCCCTTGAAGTTTGAACTGTTTCCCAAAGAGAGACTAGTTGTATTGACTCAAGAAAACAGTGAGAGAAAATGGTAATTAATTATTCTAGACAGAAAATTACCAATATGTATAGAAAATAACAGAGATGGACATAAATGTTGGCCGGGTTCTTCCAGCACTGTACTGCCTTTTGTTATTAAGGGAAAACATGATGTTCTCCTCAGAAATTTCTGTTTTATCTACCCATTATCGAGGGATCACGTACTCTAGTCCTCAACAAGTCAATTCTCATGTGATGACTTCACAGAATTATTCATATGAGAGAGACTTCATCCCCTTAATCATCTTAGTAGTCCTTTTCTGGAATCTCACTAATAGCTCTATATCTCTGTTGTACAGGGCAGTCTAGAACTGGACACAGCAGCCCAGATGTGGCCTCACAATGCTGAACAGTGTGGCAGGATCACCTCCTGTGACCTGCTGGCCACTCTCCAGTGCAGCTGGGGACATCATTAGCCTTCTTGAGGTAAGGATGCACTGCTGGCTGACACTCAATTTGAAGTTTACCAGGACCCCCAGGTTCTTTTCTGTACAGCTGCTTCCAGCTGGGTGACCTCCTGCACGTACCGGGGCATGGGGCTGTTCCCAGGTGCAAGACTTTGCGCTTGTTGAACATGCATGATGTTCCTTTCTTCAGCCAGTAAAAGTTCCACTGGACAGCAGCACAACCCTCTGGCATGCTAGCCACTGCTTTGTCCTCTGCAGTTTGTTGAGGGTATACTCTGCCCCAAAATTCAGATCATTAATGAAGATGATGAACAGGAGAGGACCCTTTCAGACAGGAGAGTCTTTTCCTCTGGGATACACCACTAGCTACTTGCCTCCAGGAAGACTTTGTGACACTAATCAGAGCACTCTGAGCCTGGCTGTTCAGCCAGTTTTAAATCCACCTCACCATTTGTTACGTTCCTATTGTCAAGAGAAGCTTTGGCCTGAACTAAGGTGCAAAGGAGACCATATGTCAAAGTCACTAGTAAGGATTTCATTTAACAATAAAATGAGAATGAGAGAGATAGAGAGAGAGAGGAAGAGAGAGAGAGGGAGAGAGAGAGAGGGAGCGAGAGAGAGAGACATAGAAGATAGTTACCATCCGTGGATCCAGTGGTGCACTTTCGGTCCTTTTTTTACCCTGGGCTTCTTGGTGGTAAGGGTTTATGTCATGGCAAAGTCTTTCTGTGGTAACAGTGTTTGAGACAGGCAACTGTAATCTTTAAGTCCTTACACTCTTACTGTCTTAGAACTTTCTGCTTAACAAAGGTCATCTCTAAGGAGAGCTTGGGGTCTTGCTCCAGATCCAGAGCAATACACAGCATGTATTTCCTCCCTCCTTGAAGCATCTGCCTGGGTGTGGGGCTGAACACCAGCAGATACTCTTGATGTCCTACCTTTCTTTTCTGTTCATCTGTGACCTGGAATTCCCCAGAGGAGAGTGAGCATCTCATAGTTATGATGTCAGGAATGCAAAGAACAAAAGATGCTGAAAACACATCCACAAAAAAAACACTACATACCATCGAGACAGATACTTGTCAGATGATAGCTACAACAGCTGCTCTTACTCCCAGACATTCATGTTATTAGCAATAATTTTCTCTAAAAATGACAAAACAAACCTAAACTCTGGTTCTTCATTCTTTTCCATTTCAGTAACTGAGGTTTTTGTTGACCTATGATAAAAACACGAAGTGTGTATGTAGAATACTGGAAAAAGCTTAACTTGGATCTGAGCTTCTATAGACAGGCACACAGCCACCTATACGAGAATCCTTTGTGTTTCACAGCAGCTACTCCCTGAGCAGCTACTGTTTGGGATATTCTAAAAAAATTGTCTCATGAGAGAAGCAAGATGAGGGGACCTTTGGCAGAGAGAGGAGTGACAAACATACCCACCGCTAGGGAAAAAAAAACATACACTTCTGAGTATGCACCGAGTTCCTTTGCCTGCAAAAGTGAAAGTAGTAAATCTTGCCCTGGATTTCTGCTGTCTTCAACAGCTAAATGGTCTTAACAATAACAGTACTGAGTATTCTTCATTATCAGAATGTGTTAAGATCAGACCATGCCACCAGGTGATCTCTGACAAAAGCTGATTGCTGTCTGGAAAGTACTGAAACAAATGAAAGGCTGCTAGTATGAAAAGAGTTAATCAGGGTAGTGAAGAATTCAACAAACCTTAGCTACCTCCAAAGCAGAACCAAAAAAATTACCAATACAATGACTGGAAAAAAAATAAGTCCACCAAGCAAAATCTAGTGAAATTACTGCAAAATATTAAAAACAACACAAATTTTATTGCAAACATTTTAATATTAAGGTAGATAAGAAATACAAGCTTGCTGATCAGGATCAATTTAACCAGAAAATTGCCTACAAAAAAACGGTTCTTGCTCCAAGACATATCAACAGCATTTTAAAACAGACTTCAAGGAAAACTAAATTTGAGCCTTTGAATTGTTACTGCAGGACAAAAAAAAGTGCATCTCCACTCTATACCTTTCAGGTCTTTTCCTATGAAGGAGGTCTCTCAGAGTTGCAGTAGTCTTCATGACATACGTTTTCAATAATTTAAAAATAATCTTCCTCTGAATTAATAACAACCCATATAAACTAAAACAATATAGCTCAAGAAACAGTTTATTATTTAGGCCTTGAAGGGTAGAGTTAAACAATTCAAAATGCCCTATAAAATTGTGAGACATACTAACTTGAGAAAAATGTAGGCACTCTCAGTCATCAATTCTTGTCAGAAATATACAAAAAGGGCCAATATTAGATTGGATTTTTACTTTTTGTTGTCTTTTCCAAATAAAACCATGGTAACGTGTTAATAAAAATGATACAACTTTCTAGTTAGTATCCACATTACATTTCTTACGTCTAAATATATTTTTGAATATTTACTGAAGGATATTGCTTTATCAGACATCCAGGTTAAAAAAATTTAAATTACCTTATGGAGGGAATTTTACACTATGTCAGCTAAATCAAAATTATTTTTCATTAACTTTTTCGTTTCAGGTTTTTTATGAGATCGAAAGGTAGAAGCAATTTTGTTATAAAAGGTGAACTGGTCTCTCCCTTTGCTGAGATATGGACAGCAATTTCATAAGTTTCGAGAGGCAAACAAAAATTGCAGTTAGAGTCCCAGACCTGGCATATATGAGAGAAATGTTTAAAGTGACTGATAATATTTTAGCACACACACCCATACATCCGCATGTAGCAAAATATGAGCCTATGACTTTCATCCCCTAGCTTCTGAAAGACTTTTACTAAGTGCTTTACTACAGCCTTAAAGCTTTTAAAACGTTATGCCTAATGCCAATAATAATAGAGCCAGTCACCTTTAGGTAGTGACAAAGTAAGTGGATTGTTATTACCAAAATGCATTTTTTCACAACCATGACTATGTAGTGATGTTGAATTTCAGTTATTACATCTCTTTATGTTTGCATATTAAAAAAAGATGGCAAAGATTATTTAGTCTAATCAGTGTAGTTAGACATGTAACTTTTAATTCTACTCATATATTCTCAAAATGATTGTTTTATGCTGCCTGTATGAAAACTAAATACTAGCAGCTGACTTATTGCTGGTTTTCAGATTAAGTCAAAGTCTCTGGTCCTTCAGAGCCTCTAAGAGGCTGACCATGCTGGAGCTGCTCCAGTAAAGAAATATAAGCTCATGCTTAATAAAACCCTGACTTCATTCCATCACATTTGGCAGATGGCACCTTCCACAACACATTTCTCCTTGTTCTCTGCTATAACAGGGGAGTACACCACCTACTGAAAAACCACAGGTCTCCCACATAAATTCTGATACCAGAGGGACAATATACCTACACTCACATGCTTTTCTAGTTGAAAGTACAATGTACTTTGAAGGGCCATGCCATTAGAAATAAAAAATTCCTTGTACCTTCCTGAAAAGCAAGATCCTAAACTACCTTGTGCTTTCAGCAGCTGATTCCCACATYAGTTTATAGTATCTTTTTCTATAATTTAATAGATGCCCTTTCACTTTCACTTGAACATACTGTGTAAAGCAGCAAGTCTGGAATGATTGTTGAACTCGCTGCAGTTTGGTACTGTAATTCACCAATGCATATATAGAATAGCTATAAAGTGCTTTAGCATTGTTTCACAAGAAAGGTGCAAATAGATATTGTGCCCTCTCATGAGACAAAAAGTCCTGGAGAGCTGACACTTAAGAATATCCTCAWTTATTACAGCAATTGAATAATGTTACTGATTTCTTACACTGGAGAATGCTTTTCTCTCCAGTATTTATTTGGGTCAGTGTCTCACAGTATCACAGCCAGTAGGCCTGCTGCTTGCCCTCTATTAGCTATCTTGCTGGATCCAAACACACTCATCTGGATAGGTAAAAAAGGCTGCTATGCTGGGAATCTGCACAAAAATGGTCCTCCTTTTGTGCAGAACGTGTGGTTGCTAGTTGATTCTTTTTGACTGCTATTTGCTGAAAAAACTGTCAGCACACTGCAGTATAATTTTTCTTTTTGGTTAATAGGCTCAAAATATCCACAGTGGAATGCTGACAGGTCTATCAGTCGTCAAAATTTTCCAGGGTTTGGATTATAGCACTGAAATAGCTCTGATGAATGCCTATCTAATGCATGGTGCAGCACTGCTCCTCCTCCCAAAAGATCTGAGTAAGAACTGGAAGCATCTTTATTGCTTTTATGTATGAGGAATTGAAGCACCAATGAGTGAGTGAAGTGTATCGACACAGAGTCAAATCCAAAATGACTCTATGGATGACATTCTATTGTGGTACACAGACCTCCCCTAAAAACTGGGAGTACTTCTATGGAGTAATCATTTTATAAATTAGGGCTAAATTCTTTTCCCATCAAAATCAAGGCAAAACTCCTACTGAATAAAGTATGATGTGAATTTCACATTATATTTGTAACCAAACTCGAGTACTTCATCACACACAGCATAAGTATCAAATACCTTCACAGCATGCTCGATGCAGTCTATTACAATTCTGATTGATAAAAATGCAATATCAAACATTTACCTTTTTCAATATTTTTCCTGTTCACATTATTGTGGTTCACATGACTGTCATTTTCCTGAACTGTTATTTCTACAGCCTAAAGAGGGAAAAAGAAATAACAAAGAAAACAGAAAACAATAAATCCTATTATCCAGTTGACTGAATAAATGTAGATTATCACCATGTCCATATCAAACCGCCATCCACGGCTATCATCCTCGAAGTCCATATAGTCCATCCTGTGAGCAGCATGTGGGAAATGCCTCCTTGTTACAGTATTTGAGCGCCTTTGAAAACCTGCTGAAAAACAGATTAGGAGATAAAAATCTTTTTAAAAGCAACCAGATTGACTAGGAAAAAAAAAAGTTAACACTCCTTCCCCCACTTATCAAAAAACAAATAGAAGCAGGAAATCTCACACCTCACTGCTAAGTTTCATCACTTTGTCGGACGAGAAGCTATCTGTGGAATTGATTTTATAAGACTTAAAAAGTAACTCTGTGTTCCTTAAAAAGCAACTCTGTGTTCCATGTCTAGAAAATGTTTGTTTGTATCTGGAATTCTCTACTACAGTGAAGTAACGCTATCTGCTTATGTTATCCAGATCTATGAACATCTCTCTCTTGGTTCCTGCTTTCACTGATTTTGACTCAGTGATCTAGAAGTGAAAAGCTCCACATACTGTAATCAATTTCTTCAGTAATTAATTAAGCTAGATTCCCTAAGTCTACTCATCTGAATTCTTCAGTAATCAAAACATATCCAGATTTGTATATACATAGTTCAACAACCAAAACTCATTTTAAGTCCTATTTCTAGAAACTGAGATTCTTTTTCAAAACAGTCATCTAAATAAATTCTGCTTGCTTTAATATCACATGCATTATGTTTAATATAATGTGTACCAGGTTAAAAATCAATTTTTAAACCACTGTTTGTATAATGGTAACACCTTAAAAATATATAGGCAGATGAAAACACAGTCAAGTGGAAGTAAAAATCCTGTGATGCCTAGATGGCCTGAGTGTGTGTGCTGTCAAAGGTCTGTTCTCTTCATTGTTTCCCAGACTTCCCTGTGCAGCAAGAGAAGTACTAYAGGAGCATAGCTCTTCCCTATGTCAAGACACGGGGTTAGAGAAGTGTCTGTGCAGCTGGGTTAGACAGTAGGTTGTGACACACAAAAAAAGCCTGGGAGCTGTGTTGCAAAGCCAGAAAATCTGTCCCATTCTGATAAAGGCTGGTTGTACTCTGGATTTTCACTCCATTTTCATGTAATGTGCAATTTTTACGATGAATTCTGTGATAAATTCTAACAAGAAAAATACCTTCAGATGTCTATCTCCAGCTAGAATGGAAATAAACCACATCTCTTAGCCATCTGCAGATAAAAACTGAGAGCTGTAGAGTTCTTCAAAAACTGAACAGCGACATGGAGTAGTGGTTTGAATTATGAAACAAAAAACCTAAGGTAGCACCAAATCCATATTAATGCATTTTCTCCTAAGAAAGAAATCCTAGCATATAGGATTTCAGTCCCCAAATAATTAATGTATGGGCATGTGTTTGTGAAAAAATGTATTTTATTTAACTTYCTTGCACATGCCTGTGTTGCTATACTCTGAACAAGAACTTCTACTCAAATTACATGAATATGCATGCACAGTGCAGGCAGAGTCTGGCAGACTGTTAGTGGGAATCTGTTACTAGATAATAAAAACAATGTTGTGTGCAAATCACACTTTTATATGCACCAAAGCATGCAAAYCTAGAAGGATTTCCACTATAGGCAGATCTGCTGCATGTTTTCCTGCCTAAGATTTTGCAATCTTCTGTTGAGGTACTAGCAAAACACAAAATAAAAAAAAATTTAAAATATTCTCTCCCAATTTTATAAATTGACCTACATTTTTTAAAACTTGAGAATAGGGAACATCAGATATACATTTTTACTCTAAATATGTCCCCAAATGAATAATATGCAAGCACAATAACCATTTATATTGCAAGTGCCCATGTAAAATTAAATTATRTAAGAACAAGTGTTCTGAGGTAATCAGATATACCAAGGTGCCAGATATACCAGATATAATTTTGGCAGAGTCTCTTCTTTYAGATTATAAACTACAGCAGATAAGACAGCTATTGAAAGATTGTGAGAAAAAATACAAGTACAGACTGAGACCTTCCCATATGAGCCCTTGCAGCAACTGGCAGCTTAGTACACTAGATCTTTGGAAGTTCTTTTCCGAACAATGTGTAAAAATGGCTTTACATGTGTCTCTGCATTTGTTTGAACCCAATCTCACACTGACTCCATTTAATGCACTTTGTGTCCCCTGATGGAGCAGTTCTGGAGCAAATAAATTGTTTTCCTTTCAGGTAAAAGTGGAGACAGAAGATGAGCTCTAAGAGCTCTGAAGTGTTCCAGTAATATGCTTCAACCACTAATGGGCATTTAGCCCTCTGGACTGCGAGTAAATTGGCCCACATGCAAATGTGGACATCTGATCCCACAGCACCAATTTTTGTGCTCTATTATGGCTGATACAATTGCTTATGCAAGAATGCCTCTGAGAGACAGTGAATAATGTTTCCTAAMACATCTTTATGCCATTCATAATTTTACAGACCTCTTTTATCTGTCTTCTCTAATATGCTTTCCAAGCAAAAGCATATTTTGTATGAAAAACCATCGATACTTCAGATCATCCTTTCCACATTATGCTTCACCCTGCTTTATCTTTCCCTGAGATGATGTAATCTAAAATTATATGCAAAAGTGGAGATGTGGGATCACCAAAAATCTAGGCAATGACATAATATTTTGTTATGATTCTAATAATTCCTGCTTAACTTTTGACTACAGCTGTGCAAGAAATGTTTCAGAAAATCCATCACAATATTATCCAAATGTCTTCTTTAAATGGTAATAGCTAATTTACAGCTCATGATAGCAAATATTATGCATTATGGAAATGGACAGTCTCTATGGGCACCTGTTCCATCCACCACCTGACTGTCCTCACAGTGAAGGCGTTTTCCTTACTTGCAGTCTGAACTTTTCATATGCCTTAATGCTCATCCTGCTGCCTGGYAATCTGAACAGCTGTTCTGTCTTCCTGGTGGTTTCCTTACAGGTATGATAAGATTGATTGGAGTTCCTCCCCAAAGCCTACCCCTTCCCAGGCTGAAGAAGSCAGTTCACTCAGCCTCTCCTTCCAGGTCAGGTTCTCCAGGCCACTGAGCATCCCTATGTTCCTCTACTGAACCTGTTCCCATCTACTGCCATCTTCCCTGTACAGGGAGGAGGGCAAAACTGCAGTATTTTAGATGGGGTGCACCAAGTAGTAGGGGATAAAAGCTTCATCTACAGGTTTTCATACAYTGTGCTTTTGTTCACAAAACCCAGGATGCTGTTGGCCTTCTTCACTGACAGGGCACACTTCCAGCTCACAGGCAGCTTGYTCTCCATCAGGATGACCACGTTCTTTCCAGAGATCTGTCCCCAGGCTGTCAGTGCCCAAACTGTGTCATTGCCAGRGGCTCCTCCTTCCCCTGATGCAGGTGACAGCATTTGTCCCTGTTAAATTTCACAAAGTCCTTTCAGCACATTTCTGCAGTTTGTCTAGGTATCTCTGAATCGCAGCACTTTGCTGAGTATCAATCTGTCCTTGCGTTTGCTGTTCTCTGTAGACCTGATAAAAACATATTCTGTTGCCTCCTYGAGGTCACTGATCAAGAGAATTATTGGCTGTCAAGTTCATATTTACTATCATCAGTGAAGTGAGTAATTTAATATCACTATAAACTTTACCAGCTATATATGTATCACTTTCCCAAATCACATATGAATGTTCTGAACTACACAGACCACTGGCATTCTGACAAAGACTCAATTTAGCTCTTTTACACTGTATTTTACACTTCATTTTAGGTGCCTGGCAAAAGGGTCTGACTTTTGAAGCACCTGCACTTCTCCAGCCTCTTATTCTCTCTAAATACCTACCACTGAGTCTATCAACTTGTTGTCACCTACAGACTTTATGACAGCATGGAGCTAAAGAACAAAATTTCCAAGTATGCCACAATTTTTCAAGGATACAAGTGTTTTTATGYTGCTTTCACAAATGAGGCATCATCCCAAACTTCTTGTATAAATGCCAGCCTTCTCCCATACGCACATCAAGAAGCATTATATTCTGGTTATGCTAACATAACAGCTAAATTRCAAGATTTGCTAGTTAAGATGAGCTGTGGGATTTGTATTTCCAAGAAAGAAAAATCATCTATTGCCAGAGAAGGTTTATGAGAGAATAGCACTTATCATGTGTGAATGACTGCAGGCATGTCCCACTGACTCCTGATCTCACACTCCAAGCCTTACCTCAGTGTCAAGCTTTCCACTGAAACTCAAGTTCCCAAAGTACCCAGTTCCTTGCCCAAACCAAGGCCACTYAATGCAACCATCGTCCTTCTGAGATCTAGAGATCCACTCGTGCTGCATGAAAAGCTTGAACCTTTCCCACCCTCTTGCCTCAGTATTTCAGCTCCACACACTCATTGTCTCAGAAGTCTTTTTTTTTTCTAGAGAGAGGCAAATCAAATTCCAAACTCTTCTTTCTCCAGGATGCATGCCAGAGCCTTCAGCTTTCTATGTCAAAACTTTTATCACCTTTCAAGGCCTTTTCTGTAGCAGAAACATCTTTCCAAGCACCCCTCCCTATCCTGCTCTTACCTTCCTCTCACTTTCTCTCTGCTCTCTTCGAATATTTCTCTGCTCTTGCCCTTCTGATTTTACCCTTGGGCTCTCAATGGCTGACAGCACCTTATATCCTTATGTGACTAAACTTACATGATAGCCTAATTTTAGGCTATAGCATTCTCTTTGCCATTCCCAAACTACTAGCAGCTGGACCTCAGAAAACCTGGATGTAAAATGTACTTAAGATGGACATAATCCTTATCTGAAACCATTTTTACATTCAGTATGATGTCTGTATCCTCACTTATAGAACTTTTGCTGGGCTATTGGTTTAAGTGTTGAATTCAATGACAGTCTCAGAGAGGTAAATAATGTCTAAGCAGTAATTTTTGCATGAATAAAATGTGGTTTATTGAACTCAATGTGCATATGTTACAGGTATGTTACATCCATGAACAAATCAGCTTCATGCAGGCAATGTAGTGAGGAACTGCTTTTAAATGTGTCAAAGAACACTGTCTAAAAGAGTCTAGATGAGCAACGGATAACTGTGAAAATCTGAAAATCTGTCTTTCTTATGGGACACAAGACTTGATCC